TTTAGCATACGGACAACCCCCAAGACCTGATACTGATGAATCCACTGTGAGGATTCCTATCTGCCAAGATGAAAATGTCATTCCAGTTCGATTATCCTTTTTTCTTAATATATGCAGTTCTATTATCCTTAAACATTAAGATCAGTCAGAATTCTAGAAGTATGGTCCGCTAAATCATGTAGTCACAAGAAAGGGAATCAACTTGTGTTGGAGTGGCCCTAAAAACCTATTGTCTCAAGTTTTAATTTATACTTTGGATAGTGCACCTTTTTCACGAGCTCCATTTGCTTATTTTGATGTCCATCACGCTCTACTGTGACAAGCTCAGCACTATGTAGATGACTTCCAATCCAATACTGCATGTTCGTACCAATTTCATTGAGCTTGTTAGTATGCACGTATCCACAAGCACTGCTAGCACTCCAAAGTATTCCTCTCAGACCATTGAGTAGGCAAAGGCGTATTGAGTACCCTCCTTTACTTGTCCCTCGATAAGTGCCAAATGTACTTTGGCTTCGTTTTCGTACTTGCCTTTTACTTTTTTAAATAATTATTATGGAGGCCTTTCAATCATGAATTGTTTATTGATAGTGGTAATTGGGTCGAAAATCCAAGACAAAAACAATCGTTTGAAGACTTATACTTTGATTTTGACTGATCTAATCATGTCAAAAATTGCAACTACCTACATTTGGTTTAATTTTCCTGCTAAATTCAAGAGCAGTGTGGATTACCTGGAGTGACGCTAGTATGTTTGAAATAGCTTGCCCATACGTGTCATGAAAATGGACAGCAAGCTTCAGTGGGGACCACACCAACAACAGCCTCAAGCATTGGAATGACACTATCTAGAGTGGAAAAAAAAAAAGAATTTTAACGAAAAATCTACGATACTGTTTAATTTAACGAAAAATCATATTTTTATACTAAAAAGTCAAACTTGATAACAAACAAACAAAATACACTACCCAATCCTCTTCCTCCGCATCATTAAGATAACAACGCAAACTACCATCACAATCACTGGACTTAAAAAGACAGGGTCTGAAGTTTTTACTGTTAGGAACTTATGACATCTTTTGGGGATGTTTTATTTTATATTTTCACAGCGTCAGTGTTTATCCCAGAAAGCATAAGCCTTGAGGAATACACCACAGCCAAATAGTGTCTACTATATGGGATAAACGCTAAACAAATGAGACTAGTCAAAATAAGTGAATGGCACACTACAAGCCGAGCCTCATGCTGCACATTTCTGTAACTTTTCGGTCTTGAACTTCTAGTTTGGCTTTCCAACTTCTTTGTTTACCCAAATGAAATTAGCCCAAGCAAAATTTAACTTTCCCAAAGTCAAAACACGCAATCACTGGCCGGCAAACCCACATCATAGCATGAAAGCTTAGAAAGTTTCTTTTTTCCTCCCATTTTGATGAATACGCTAAAAGCCTAATAGAGAATTTAGGATGGCAGAAGGAAGTAGTATAAGTTCAACAAGAGCCAAGGCATGAGCCAACTAAATCAACAAGAAGAAAGGCGGACAAAATTACCTGGAGTACCAACACCAATTGTATCACCAAGAGAAATTTCTGAGCAACCCATGTCATAAAGTTCTTTCGCCACATATGCTACTTGTGATGGGGATATCTTTCCTTCCACTGGACACCCCACAACACACGATATGTATCTAAAAGGATTAGAAAGGTATAATATTGGAATACTGCTCAGAAAAACAATAGAAATTAAATAGTTCCATATAAAAATATTATTTAGAAAGAAAGTAATTTAGTTCCACTGGGAGTGAGAAGAACCCATACCACCCTCCCCGACCCCCAAAGCGCAGAAAACAAAAAGTAGTTAGAAAATATACCCACAAAGAGGAATTAAAAGCTTTCTGGCAGCAATAGCAACATCACTATGACAAACGAGACTATCTTCAATACTGCAGTTTATATTTGATTTTGAAAAAGATTGAGAAGCCGAGGCAAATATGCCAACTTCTTTTGCACCAGAAGCAATAGCTGCCATTTCATCGGATGAGGATCCTCTCCGGATTCTCTTTGTGAGGATCTCGGAGATCCTCCAATTATGTTTGTTTATCGTATATTGTGAGACTAGAAGTACTGTTTATATTTAATTTTAAATAAAAAAAATTAAAATGATTTATGACCGTACGATATACGATGAACGGACACAATTGAAGGATCGCAGGGTTTCTCACAAAAAGGATCCTCATTCGTCTCTCTCTTCTTCAAATCTTTTCTTCTCCCATTTTAGTGCAGTTTAGAGTGGAAATGTCATTTGCAAAACTGCAAAGGGTTTGGTCTAATGAAAAGTGAGCAAAAGTTTGGAATTTCTAACTCGAATTTGAGCTCTCACAAATGCATTTTTTGAGCAACCGGCCCCTATTTTGGTGTATTGTTTGAACCGAGGCCAAAAGTTCAATAGCCTTATTATTCTTGCATTAAGTTCCCTGATTTAGTGAATCATGAGAAAAATAATATTGGATGAGACTATTCAAAACCCTAGAATACAGAAGTTGGCCTCATCACCTTGTCCTTCTTGTACGTTGGATTATATAGTCATTCATTTTACGGGGCAAGAGATTTGACATTTATGGATTAATCAACTGCGCTTCTAAGTTAGGTTGGACGAACGCACCGAAATCCCAAAGTGTCAGAGTGTCGGACACTCCGACACAGGTTGAACATGATCAAGACACTGGTCAAGGGGCGGGCATTTTTATAAATTTGAAAAATATTTAGAGTCAGTTTTGGAAACATAAAAACATTGAAAGATTTGGGGCAATTTGGAAATACAAAAACTAAAGCCTAAAAGCAACCCGTCCTAACCCAACTTCAATCTCTTATATGCGCCTCCTTCCACTTCTCTTCTTCCCCTCTTCGCAACCGATGCAGCCTCTTCTCTACGGCCTTCACTCTAGTTGCATTCTATTTTAATTGGTTGTTTAATTTGTTATTGAGCATAAACATATCTCTTCTTGTTTTTTTTTTTCTTTTTTAAAAGGAACAACTGGTTACAAGTCACGGTTATACATATTTTTTAGAAGCCGAAAAGACTTACATAGTCATTTCAGCTTCCCTCTAGCTTCTTGTTTTAATTATTATACTTGTTTTGTTTTAATTATTATACTTGTATTGTTTTAATTATTATGTTTTGTGTTATTTTAGTTATTATGTATAATGAACGAATTTGATAAACACAGTTATTTTGTTATATTATAATCCACTATTATTTTTAATATATGCAATATTTACTATAAATTTATTATATTTTAAACAATGTTTCCATGTCCTATTTTTTAAGATTTTTCATGTTCTTGTCGCCTGTATTCGTGTCCATATCCGTGCATCCTTGTAATAGTGTAGGATAACTATTTTGGAGTGGGAAATGTTTTGCCACTCTATCCCTTATCAAACTTTAACTTGAATTTTAACCATTGCTTGTTATTGACTAACATTTTGGGAATTCCAACTGGATCATCAGCTTCCAGACTCTGTAACCCTCCACCTCCCTAAAGGAAGAAATGGCAAACAAGTGAGTTCGAGTATGTAGTGCAGCTACATCAACACTTGAGCACGACAAACGTTACATAAGATCAACCTTTCCACCGTACGTCAGCTACATCATGCCTGCCTCCTTTCTTACTTCAAACATTCATTCATCGTATCCTTACTTGTTGTGGCCAGTCGACGGAATTTGGAAATATAGCATGCTTAGTTTGCGTCAATTTCAATAGGGATTCAACACAATCCAATCCATCATGTTAAATTCAGAAAATTTGGACCCCAAATAGAATTATAACTACCTTTTACATTTGCTATAATTATAACAAAAAATTGATATAAAAGTACTAATATAACATTAAAGGTTTTCTACAAGAACCAAAAAGCAAAATTAAAACGAACATCGGGTGTCTAGATCTTAGTGACACTTATAAGCTTCTTGTTGTTAGTAAAAGGAAGGCATTTTTCTGGTGTGGTTGCAGAAAAATGGATTGGGAAGAACTCTTCGAAAGTTGGAGAAGATTTGAAGGTCTTGCTCTCACAGTTATCTGGTACTCGAGGGCTTGAGCAATCACCAAGCGCTTTGTATGAGGAGTTGGAGGAAGAAAGAAATGCTTCTACAATCGCTTCAGATCAAACAATGGCCATGATTACAAGACTGCAAGAGAAGAAGGCAGTGCTCCATATGGAAGCACTCCAGCAATTAAGGGCTGATTTGGTATTGATGTGCTTTGAAAAAAAAAACTGTTTCTGCTGTGCTGTGAGAATAAGCAGCTGTGAAATAAAACTGTAGAGTATTTGGTAAACTTTTTTGTAAAAATGCATTTGAAAAAAAAAACAGTAGTATAGTATTTGGTAAATTTTTATGTAAAACAGATGTGAAAAAAATTCGGTTTTTCAAAGCTGAGTTTTGCAGCTTCTTGTTTTTGGCTTTTTTTCATCAAAAACTGTGAAAAAAAATCTAAAGCTGAATGTTTATCAAACACAAAATAGCTCCCAACTTTTTTTTATACCAATTTTTTTCAGAATCACCTTACTACCAAACCAGGCCTAAGAATGATGGAAGAGCAAGGCGAGTACGATAATGAACCGCTGCGAAAGATAGACAACCTTCTTGTCGAGAAGAAGGAAATACAAGATTTAGAAGCAGAGGCTGAGGGCACTCCATGCATACTGAGGGTTTCTTGAACACACGATTAACCCGATTCTCGTTTCTCTTCATACTTCCTTCCTCCACTCATCTTCATCCTTCATTTTTTATTTTGTCTTCATGTTGCACTCCATGGCTAATGAAAAAAAAAATGAAAACTAACAAAAAGTCCAAAAAAACTTCCCTTTTAATAAAAAGTCATTTTTAAAGGTATAGTGAATAGAATCAGGGAAAGGTATAAATCTGGTTTTTCGTTAAAAGTGAACAGTACTGTTTTGTTAAAACTGTAAACAGTAAACTAAAAAATGCACATGGAAACCTAATAGTAAGCCAACAAAAATGAATTCAGCCGTACATTCTATTATTCTTGAATCTTCAACTTGCCAGGGGTGGTACAATATATATTTGTTGTACGTTTGTTTATTTCTCTACTCTTTTTTGTTCCACATGAAAATAAATCTACATGAAAATTCAGAGGGAAGAGAAAATAGGAACACCCGGCAAGGTGGCTCCTGCATCAACAATATAAATGTTGCCAGAGACATATTCAGAAGAGTCATGTACCAAATATCGAACTAGCGATGTCAATGCTGGATCTGAAGTGCCAAATGTTCTTAAAGGGGCAGTTTTCATAGCCACATTGTGCAGCCAGTCTTTTTCCATTAGACGCTCCGTAATTTCCGATCTGAAAAGTCCAGGTGATATTGCATTCACTCTGATTTTGTGTACCCCCAGCTCCATAGCCATAGTCTGGTTAACATAACAAGATTCAGTATAGTACCATAGAAGCTTTCACCTACACTACCAAGTGCAGAGAACTACAGAACATATTCCTTAAGAGAATACTCATAATCAAATATAGATAATGAAACTTATGAGAGAAGAAGAGAAGAAGAAAAGAATAAGCAAAGGTAGTGTCGGTGACATGACAAAGTTGAGGATAAAATCTTAAAATGGCAACTGATAAACCAGCAGTTAAAATGTAAAACTTCGTTTGAAGTTAGATCATCAATTCATATGTCATTCCCAGAAATCCTCCGGTGCAACAAAAAGCAAAATGTGGTTGAGTGCAATAACACGTTGGTCAAAACAGTCTGTTGGTTATACGACAATAGAGCCGCTCAGACCATGAGCTTGTGATAACCACAGCCTTGCGTCAACACACTTTATTGACAGATGATAACAGCACATGAAGATGACAAGCATTTTGGCAATCAGACTTAGAACTAACGAACTAAAGAGACCAAGAATCAAAACCGGCTTATAATGGGGGTGATAGAATTTGGGTCAACGGGCCGAGGGCCCCACTCCAACAACATTGATATTGTCCCCAACTTGGTAATTACCACCTGTCCAATCCATCAGGTGTAGGGTTTTATCACAAAAGGTCTCGGTACTAGTTAGAGTGGGGGTAATCATATTTAAACTCTTTTCTTTCTTCTTTCTCTCACCTATGTGGGATAGCCAACAGGGGCATAAGAGAAAGTACACAGTATAGCCCACTAGCAATATTCCTCTACTAGACTAAAAAAGAACTGAAATACTCCTAGGCTGATTTAAGTCCCTAAGTCTATCTTTCCCAGGAAACTGTTATTGGCACTCCAAAAAAGTCATCTCGTACAATTTCTGCCTTATGTTTCCCAGGAGGCAGGCATCCCTTCAAGTTCTTATATTTCATTTAAAGGCCAAAAGGAACAAAAACATAATTCCTTTTCCTTACGCAATTAATATGATTTTCCTGATTAGCATGTTAAAGATAATACCTTTGTTAAGGTGTTTACACCAGCCTTTGAACAATTGTATGCTGTAGCTCCAGGCAAATATCCACGATTAAGACCAGCAATGGAAGATATATTGACGATTGACCCTCCCTGATCAGCATCTCGCATGCGTATAGCAACAAACTTTGATACCAACCAGGAACCCGTTAAATTTGTCCTGAAAACATGATTCCATTCCTCCTCAGACAGGTCCAATGCAGAACTCACATTACCTAAGAAACACAGATGGTAGTAAGCATTTATGATACACCAACACAGACCTATAGACCAACTAGTTGCGTGTGCCTGTGAGGTCAACAATTGGTGATTGGTACAAGACAGGAATCAGGATTGGGACTGAGTCTAGTCCAGTCCGAATCCGATAGTCCCACCCGCACCCCCTGTGGAGGTAAGAGGTAGAGAGCACATGATGATGTTGTATACAATACTTGGGACAGTAGTCCAATTCAATAGTCGAGTATCGTCATTGTTAAGTTCATGAACTGAAAGAACAGTCAAATAAGTAATTTGCATTACCAAACATATAATTGTAAAACAAAGGTATATTTGTTAATTCCCCCCTCCCCTAACTAACTTGTATAGAGCTGCAAATTTCTTCCTCAACTTTAATTTTTGACAATTACCCTCCTGAAATTCTCTAATTAGCCAATTTTCTCTTTGAATTTTAATGCCAATTAGCCCATGAACTTTTATAAATAGTCAATTTCTCTAGATTTTAAAAAATTCTCATCCAATTTTTCATCTATTTTGATCACGTGTAGAAGACGTGACAACTCTATGAGAGCAAAAAGAATGGAAAACTAACAACAACAACAACAACAAAATTTTTTCCCACTAAGTGAGGTCGGCTATATAAATCCTAGAACGTCATTGCGCTGGGTTCTATGTCATGTACTCCATTAGATCCAAGTACTCTAAGTCTTTTCTTAGGTCTCTTCCAAAGTTTTCCTAGATCTTCCTCTACCCCTCAGCTAGATGAATGAAAATTTTAAAATCTAACCCTAAGCGAAATTGGCTATTTATAAAATTAGAAAGGGCTAAAGTTAAATTCAGAAAGAAATTTGCTAATTACAAAAGCTTAAGAAGTAATCAGGAATAAATTTGAGGACAATCCGACAAATACCTCTAAAACAAATAATATAAAAGGCAGAAAGCCAGCCAAACCAACCTCTACCGGCATTGTTAACAAGGGCATCGATGAGCCCAAACGCGTCCCAAGCCTTGTTCACAGACTTCTCGATAGCTGGGCCATCGGCGCTGACATCCAGCTCCACGGCCACAGCCCTCGGGCCTCCACCAGTCCCACTATCAGCAACAGAAGATGATGAAGAAGGAGCGGTGATGGAGAGCTGGTTGATTTGATCGCACACGGACTGAAGGCGGTCGATGCGGCGAGCGGCGGCTACGATTCTGCAGCCGGCTTTAGCTAAGTCTAAGCACAACTCGCGGCCGAGGCCAGAGGAAGCGCCGGTAACCATGACGACTTTGCCGTGGAGGTGGCTCCAGGGCTCCAGGTTGTCCGACAATCGATGAGGATTCTCCATGTTTGATAATCTGTACTCAACTATGAGCTATGAATTATATAGAACAAGGAAGAAGAGACTTACATGTGAATGTGTGATACTGCGAAATCTTGACCGTTGGTGGCTTCGATATGGACGGTCATGATTTGGGGTGATATATTTGTAGTTGCTGGACGAAAGCATGTTTGGTGAGGTAGTCGGCTTGACTTGACCCACTTCGATTATAGGAACGGAAAGAGATGATATATTTGCAGTTGCTGGACAAAAGCACGTTTGGTGGGGTAGTCGGCTTGACTTACCCACTTTGATGATAGAAACTGAAAGAGATCCGTCCGGATCTCTTTCGCCAAGCTTACCAGATCAAGTGATCCAAAATTTTGAATTTTCATCTAATAGTAAAAAATTATTATAGTTTTTAAGGGATCAAAATAGGTGGATCGTTGAGAAAAATAATATTGGATGAGATTATTCAAAACCCTATAATATAGAAGTTGGCCTCATCATCTAGTCCTTCTTGTACGTCGGATTATATTGTCATTCCTTTTACGGGGCAAGAGATTTGACATTTATGGATTAATCAACTACGCTTCTAAACTAGGTTGGACAAACACTCCGAAACCCAAAGCGTCGGAGTGTCGAACATTCTGACACGCCGACGCGCCTCCAACACAAGTTGAACATGGTCAAGACACTGGTCAAGGGGCAGGGGCATTTTTATAAATTGAAAAATATTTTGAGTCAGTTTTGAAAACATAAAAACATTGAAAGATTTGGGGCAATTTGGAAATACAAAAACTAAAGCCTAAAGCCAACCCGTCCTAACCCAACTTCAATCTCTTATATGCGCCTCCTTTCACTTCTCTTCTTCCTCTCTTCGCAACCGATGCAGCCTCTTCTCTACGGCCTCCACTCCAGTTGCATTCTATTTTAGTTGGTTGTTTAATTTGTTATTGAGCATAAATATATATCTCTTCTTGTTTTTTTTTTTAAAGGGAACAATTAGTGACAAGTCACGGTTATACACGTCTTTCGGGAGCCGAAAAGACTCACATAGTCATTTCAGCTTCTTCTTGTTTTAATTATTATACTTGTTTTGTTTTAATTATTATACTTGTATTGTTTTAATTATTATGTTTTGTGTTATTTTAGTTATTATGTATAATGAATGAATTTGATAAACACGATTATTTTGTTATATTATAATCCACTATTATTTTTAATATATGCAATATTTACTATAAATTTAGGGGTGTGATATCTACACATCCCTTTTTACTTTTCCCACACATTTTTTGTTTTCTGTCATCGGATGTGATAATTGAAGAAAATCAACGGACATAAATTAATAAGGAGTGTGTGAGAAGTAAAAAGGGGTGTGCCACACACCCCTAAATTTATTATATTTTAAACAATGTGTCCATGTCCTATTTTTTAAGATTTGCCATGTTCCTGTCGCAGTGTCGTTGTATCCGTGTCCATATCCGTGCAACCTTGTAATAGTGTAGGATAACTATTTTGGAGTGGGAAATGTTTTGCCACTTTATCCCTTTCAAACTTAAACTTGAATTTTAACCATTGCTTGTTATTGACTAACATTTTGGGAATTCCAACTGGATCATCAGCTTCTAGACTCTGTAAGCCTCCACCTCCCCAAAGGAAGAAATGGCAAACAAGTGAGTTCGAGTATGTAGTGCAGCTACATCAACACTTGAGCACAACAAACGTTACATAAGATCAACCTTTCCACCGTACGTCAGCTACATCATGCCTGCCTCTTTTCTTTCTTCAAACATTGATTCATCGTATCCTTACTTCTTGTGGCCAGTCGACGGGATTTGGAAATATAGCATGCTTAGTTTGCGTCAATTTCAATAGAGATTCAACACAATCCAATCCATCATGTTAAATTCAGATAATTTGGACCCCAAATAGAATTATAACTAAAGGAAATCTGAAGGCAAAGGTATAGCAGGTTGATGAATTGTATAAGCTCAACTCAATGTCGAGTGAGTATTCATTCACTTCTTTATATAGAGTTACAAAAGATAAGGTTGTTACACTTGATAAACATTTGAATCAGAAAAATAAATACAAACAGGTTGAATCAGATACAAACTGACACGCCCCGACCCTGATATTCCCCGAATACCAGGACCGACACGTGCTGGCCGACACCCGGGGGTGACGAAAGCCATTAATTGATACAAAAGCTAAGAATAAGAAATAAATACAGGTTATGAATTTAAAAACAATGAATTAACAATTTAGGAACGTGTTCAGAGCATACAACTAAACCTAGTCACTAACAAGAATTAAGATAAGATTAAATGAACAAAGGAGTGGGTCCTACCCCGAGAGGACTCGAAGATGCCGCTGCGGAAGTACCTTAATGCCAGGATTCTATGCCTCGTTTCTAAGACCTGAATGGGGGCGCAAAACAAGGGTGAGTGGACCAAGTTTATATACATACATAGTACGAAAACAGTTATGAACATACTAACCCCCACAGTTTAATAATGAAAACTACTAGAATAATAAGTGATAAGCTTTTCAGAAACCTTTAGCATGCCATAAAACAATTCATATATCCATCTGCAAATCAATCTCAGAAAATCATATCAGAAATTATCTCAGCAATCATGTCAGGAAGCATAACACAAGTTGTGCTGCTAGTGAGTGCACTGAATAACAATACTCCCGGCCCAATGCCTGCACCTCAGTCTCTGTGCCCGTAGCCAGAGATATCTCCCTCCCGGCCCAATGCCTGTCTCCGTGTCCCTCAGCCTTTCGCTAGGGATTATTTCTCCCGGCCCCAATGCCAACACCAGATCCTCGCCCCAGGCGGCATAGTGTTCACTAGGTACGCACAAAACATAATTCATCTCTAAAATACAACTTCGTAGCATAAATTCATCGATCCTCTATACTACGAAGAGGTGTTCGAAAGTCATTTGAAACACATTCTTAGCATCCTATCGTCATCGATCAGATAGTCTACTAGAATGAGGGTTCTATAGAAAATACAATATAATGAAAATAATTCAAAACATATATATAATCACGTATAATCAAATCATCATGCTTCCTGTAAAGTATTTCTCAAATCAATAATTCTGCAAGGCATGCTATTAAATTATGCATTTCTATCAATAAAACATGCAATTTTCGAAGGTGGTCCACTCACAGATACTCCGAAGCAGCAGAATTGTGTGCAAAAAGATTAAGGAAGTCTCCACTAGCAACTTCACCTAAGCACGAAAATGTACAATTTAATAAACTACCCAAAAGATAGAATTTTAGGAAATGGAAATGGGTTTTGGGTTTGGGTAGGTTAGGAACAAGAGGGAGTTTTAGGCTTAAGCCTAAACCCACCCTTATACACACACGGCACACACACCACACATTCACACACATACCTACACCACACATACTCCCAGAGCTGCACCGCACAACGCACACACTGTACACTTCATATAGTACACAAACATACACAACACACACGTGCACCATACACCAACATGCCAAACACACCCACAGACAGCATGCACATATATATATATATATATATATATACAAATATACACACAGAGGCAACATGCATATATATATATATATAGATACATACATATAAACACACACGCATGCACAGCATGCATATATATATATAAGCACACACACGCACAGCAAGCATACTTACACACACACACACACACGGTTCACGCACACACACTTGCACAACGTACACACTGCACAAACACACACTCACGAACTCGCCGGAGTTCGTCGTCGGAACCGGACATGCATGCACAAGGGATGGTAAGAGTTAGGGCTTGAATAAGGGGTTCTAAAACTTCACAAATATACCTAAGAACTCACCTGGACGCACTGCAGCAGGTTTTGGGAAGAGATGGACCTCGAACTCGTCGGAGTTCGTCGTCGGAGCTAGATTATTAGCACAGAGAAAAACTGAGATCAAAACCCTTGAGTTTTGTCATAAACTCATCATGCACAACCCAGAAATTTGAAGAAGGAACACAATCCTCACCTGGGTTCGCGTGTTAGAGCTTTGAAGCTCTCGGCTTCAATGGCAGAAAAGTCCACAGTGCTCTGATGGCGCATGCAAGGGTATCGTTGAGTTCGTTAAGTCTCAAGGATCCCAAATATATGGTTTTGGGGTTTGATTTGTGAGGGAAGTGAGGTGAAAGCTAGAGAGAAGCTCTCGGAGCTTAGAGAGTGTGAGAAAGAGAGAGAAGAAACCGAAAGAAAGAGAGCACTGAGATTCTCAGATGTGTTTCGGGCAGAGATGAAAGGAAAGAGGGATCTGAGAGCTGCCACATGGCAGTTTAAGATCAATAGCCTTTCTAGATCAAGGGTTAGGATTAAAAGAGAATAAGGGACTAAATTGATAGATAACAAATATGTTCTAGGGGAAAATAGAAATAGAATGAAAAATGGGGGTGGGGTATAACACAAACATATTTGAGAGAGTTGTGCGGATAATGGACTGTGTTGTTATGATCCTTTCTGTTGCAGATTGCAGCGGGAAGGTTGTGGTTGAATTGGTGGTGCTGACTTGGACCTTTCTTTAGGGTTTGGAGATTTATCTGAACTAGGTTTGTCAATAACCACCTTTTAAATTTGCTATAATTATAACCAAAAATTGATATAGAAGTTAACATTAAGGGGGCGTTTGTTGTACCGGACTGTCTTAGACTGGACTAGCTTCAAGGACTAAGCTGGACTGGCTTAGACTAGACTAAGCTGGATTAACTTAGTGAAGCGTTTGGTGCAGTGTCGGACTAAAAAACAGGATAATTAACAAAACTGAAAAATTATATTATTTTAAAGCATATCTAGAATATTTTATATTAATTCTTCCTCTCTCTTTTTTTCTTCTAGAAACCCTTTTTCTAGAATGCTCCATCTTCTCTGCCTCACCACTCCCCCTTTTTTCTCCATCCGTCTCAATCCTCTCTGCCTATTGATTGTTTCCTTCAGCCATCTATTGCTTTCATGGAATCCCGTTTCCAAAAAAATCAACCA